CAGAAAGCTCAGTGATGTCAGTGTACTCGTAGAAGTGGAGGAAATGGGCCCCAGACGCCAATGAAGATTCCCTCTTTCTTTAAAATATCTGGGGTTCTTAAGTAAAAAGTGGTTGTCTCTGAAAACTAAATTTGGAGTGAGCCTGTTGATGCTTCTTGACTCCATGTTAGAATTGGTTCTTGTTGTTGTACCTAATGTGTTCTTCAGCCCACCACATGATGTTTGTGAAACAAGGTGTTGGGAGTAGTTCTGTAGCTCAAGTCTTCTGGGTCTGAGTCAATTCTAGGAGGAAAGCATTTGAATACCAGCCAGTGTGTTGTGTCAGCACTATTCAAGAAGTGTGTGTCCACTTGTTAAAAAGAGAACTGGTCTGATCATTTAAAGTAAAAACCAAGTGATGCCTTTTAGGGCAACCATTTAACTTTCAGCATGGTCCCCTAACTGACTCCTGTCTGAAGAAGAAGCGTTTTTTTAAAAAAAAAAAAAATAGTGTTTGTATCATTTTGCTATGCTGATCAGAGAGTATCTTGTTTGTATTAAAACAAATTCTGGGATCAGTGTCTGGGTTAAGAAACAATTTTTGTTTTTAATATTTCACATTAAACAAACAAAAGTAATTATAATGTTAATAACAAACCTGCTAGAAGACAAAAGGAAAATCAGAAGAGCCCAGACAATAGTGTGCAAACTCACTTTCTTCAAATGTCCCATGAGTACAGTGGTATGTCTCAAGATGCCTAGAAGTTAGGCTTTCCACACTTGTAGTTATTTATGAACAAAATAGAATGATCATTTATGTAACAGTTCTTGTACTTTAGCAAATCTGGGTTAGTTCACAGTTGAATTCAGTTCAAATTTCTTACAGGAAAGCTTTGCTTTTTGTGGCAACATTTTTATATAAGCTTGTGTGAATTCCTTTTTTATTTAATGATCTGAACACAGTATTTTTGCACAATTGTGACCATGTGTGGTGGTGTCACTATAACCAAAGTCTATACACCAGCCCTTGTGCATTTATTCTTCCCTCTGGTATTATGCATTTAAAATGTCCAAATCCAAACCTTTGTGACTTTCTTTGGAGGACCTGGCAGCACAGCATGCCCCCGTGACCTGCCCGCTGTGGTGTGACCAGTAGCAGGCTTCCTGCCCTGTGACGTCCTGAGTTGCTCTCAGGCAGGGGATTACATTATGAAAACTAACCATGTAACATTAAACCTACCCTAGCAGAAAGAATATGTTTTATGTGAACCTGTACAGTAAATAAAGTGGAAATTATGAGTAATATTTTGACTAGTTTTTCTTAGCAAAATTGACACAGATCAAAAGTAGCTTCCTTTCCTTCAAATTGTCCTGTCATTGTCTAAGGCTGTGCCATTAATATTCTGCAGGCTCTTTGAACCTCAGTCACTTGATGGCACCTTGAGGCACTGCAGTGATTTTTGCAGGGTGAGCTTTTTTTTTTAAATATTTTTTATATATATATGGACCTTTATTTTATTCATTTATTTATATGTGGTGCTGAGGATCAAACCCAGTGCCTCACACATGCTAGGCAAGTGCTCTACCACTGAGCCACAATCTCAGCCCAAGGGTGAGCTTTTTGATTTTGATTTTGATTTTGATTTTTTTTTAAGGACACAATGCCTTCATTTTATTTATTTATTTTTATGTGGTGCTAAGTGAGCTAGGCATTCTACCGCTGAGCTGCAACCCCAGCCCCCAGCCTCAGGGTGATCTTTTTAGAAAGAAGCCATGGTGCCTTCTTGTTGATGCAGGACACTAAGTGTGCATAGTAACTGCTAACTTCCCCTTCTCGTACTTCTTGAATCCTTTGGGCTCTGTAGTTACTTGCAAAGTTGAGGGAGGAATCTCTTTGCTAGAAAACTGTTAAGCTGGACGAGATAAGGAACCCCAAAATCGGATTGCCCCCCGCCTCCCCAAGAAAGTAAGGTGATTTGAGCAGTGTGGGCATTTAATTGAATCTTACAGTAGATGCCTCTGGGAAAGGGTCATGCTCAGTGACCACTAGGACCTGAAGTTCTGGGGAGGAAGAGGACCTGTGGGGGACAGTATAAGCCAACTAATCCTATCATCCTCTCATGGAGCATTAACTTTGGGTCCTAGAGCATATTCACAAGCAGAGCACAGCAGCACATACCTGTAATCCCAATGACTTGGAAAGCTGATGCAGAAGGACTTTACAAAATATAAAAGGCTAGGGATGTAGTTTAATGGTATAATACTCTTAAGTTCAATCCCCAGCACCACAATAAATATATATTATACATATATACACATACACACACGCTTGTGTGTGTATGTATATATATTTTTTTTTCATATATTTATAAATACATATATTTATGTTCATTTTTTAAATCAAAGTGAATTTTTAAAAAATGAATGACCATTCCAATAATTCTGAGTTGACATTTGAAAGTCTAATCTTCCATATGTGTCTTTTTCAGAGTCAGTTTCCTAACAGAAGTCTTGTGCACCTTCATCAGAGTTCTATACAGATGGTCTTAGTGAATGGTTTCTGAGGCTGTTCAGGGGACATGCTGGATGGCTCTGGCCTTCTCCGTTCCATCTGCTCCTGTTCAGTTGCATGTGAACAAAAGCCCTTTGCACGAGTACACTTCCCAGCTGAAATAAGTGACTTCACTGCCCAAGTAGTGAATGCCATTGATTTCCAAAAATGTTGAAGTCCTCGTATGATAAGTATATGACAGATTAGTTATAACAGGCTAAAACTAAGGTATAATAACTTAAATTATTGGAGAATCTTACCAACAGCCAAAACCTATGAGGTTTCCCCCCACTTTTTCCAAACTCTATACAATAAAATACTTGATCAAACCAAAGATTGCAGAGCCCTGCGGAGTTCGGGCTAGTATTATTTCACACAAAATGGTTGGAATGATACCAGATCACCTCCTCAATGACTTTTTTTTTTTAAGTTTTTAGTTTTAGGTGAGCGCGCTACCACTTGAGCCACATCCCAAGTCCAATGACCTTTATTTGACATCCTTTAGAAGCAACTTACATACCAGCATCCAGACACTGTCTTCTTAAATGCTTTGGACTGACATACTGAGTGGCCTTGTTTGTACTCTGTGTGGCTATGCTTGGATTGACACAGAGGAGATGTCTCCCTCCCCACAAAGTCTTCTGTAGGTTTTATGGAGTTCTGTGTTTTCACATATCCTATATCCTTCCAGGAAGGGGATAAAGAAATTTGTGTAGTTAAAAGTCATCTCTGGGGGCTGGGGTTGTGGCTCAGTGGTAGAGTACTAGCATGCCTAGCACGTTTGAGGCACTGGGTCCGATTCTCAGCACCGCACGCAAATAAATAAATAAATAAAGGTCCATCAATAACTAATAAATTTTTTTTTAAAAGTCATCTCCGATATCTACTATAATCTATTGAAGAGCTAGTCAACGGGCAGCCTTGTACTTATACCTTCCCTAGCAGGACACCAGCTTTTATCTGAGCAGCAGATAGTGTTTCCTCTCTAAAGACTACTATGGAATAAAATATTCTTAGACTACTACATAAAGGTTTACACATCCTGATTTCATATCTCATTTGTGCTAAGCAAATTATATTTGTGTCAGCTAAGAATCTTATATTATTTCTATAGACCCTGTTATAATACAATACACTTAGAACTGCAGAACTACTTTAGCAGACATTTATTAACACAATAATTTCATGTAGAACTTCTAAAGAAATTCCAGACAAGAATTCTTCCAGTAGGTAACAAAATAAACTATTTTAAATTCCTTCTCATAAAGATGACTTTATTCCATAAACAGTACATGGGCTGAGCAGGTTCAGTCTCCTTCACCAATATTAAAAATGGTTGTATGATAGTCACTATTTTGATTCTGTAAACACAACTAGGATATGATGATGTGGTCATAACTGAGTTTGGAGAATTCAGTCTTGTGACCTTCAAGAGCAGGTGTGAAACAGCGCCTGAACACCCCAAGGTGACTTCACTAGTTACTTGAACATGTTAACACGAAATGAGCAGTGAGGAAGAAACCGTCCCTCAGTTTGTCATAGTGCAGCTCTGTCTTCATTGTAAGAACAAGGTACCTTTCTCTTGGAAAATCAAAATGTTTTCACAGTGAATTTAATAAATTAACATCAGGGGGAAAGCAAGTAGGAAATGAGAATTCTCCTTCAAAGTGCTCTTAAAATGAATGTTTAAGGATTACATGGGAAGCAAAGCATTTCACAAGCACACGCCACACACCCAAGGCCCCGGAACCATATGTCAGGAGTAGCAAATACAACAGAATCCTCTTTTCATTGTGAATTTTTTCAAGCAATAAATTAAGTCCAGCATGAGACAGCCAAAGGAGCCTCTAAGGCAGTTAGGGGTTCTGTATGATCTGCTCATTAAGGCATAATCTGAGATGAATGTGCCAAGGCTTTTGGTCCTGTACAGATTCTTGCATGCTCCCAAGGAAGCAGGTTTGTGGCAGTTGTTTCAATCTCCTGATGTGGAAACGAGGAAGTCTAGGTTTCTGGAAATTACAGAAATGGCAGAAAACCTAGCAAAAATACTAATATTCTGCATTCTAAGATCTGCCACAGTCACCTTATTTTGCTATTTGTGAATAACTACCCAATGTTCAAGTGCTTTCTAAAGCCTCTTCCTTTTTTTTCACAACTCTGCAAAAAAAATACTACAGTTTGGCTAGACTCTTTGGTAGGATAGCTCTTACCTAATCCAGATTTTAGGAATGAAACTGAACAGCCACATTTCATTTCAAAAGTTGATTTTATGACAAACTCCCTAGCTCTATGTATGCTATGAGTAGAGAGATATACAAAGTTTTGTGAGTGTTCAATTTGTCATTCCTTTTTTCGTGCCTACAGATAGAGGGTTGAGGAATAAATACAATAATCCATTTCTTCAGTCCCATTCAAGGGTCCCCAAAGCAAATCTGATTTGCTTCAACTCAACAAGGAAGAAACAGGTGAAAATAGTTGGTCCCAATTTTATTTCAGTGTAGAAAAATACCTCAAAAGAATCAAGAGAAAGTATAAGGCAGGGTGAGACCAGGAAGACCATTAACAGTAATTTCATGTGCTGGATCAATGCTCTGTACTCTGCAATTATAATAAGCGGTGGTCTAAATATCAAGAGAATCAAGCATTAGGATGATTAGCGCATAGCATACACCAGAATTAAGGGAGCTTATGTTAACTGTCTTGTCAACAAAGTGTAGTTGAGATCATGCAGATCGGGATTTTTAAGGGAAAGCTTTTAAAAATGCTGTGATAAAGACGTGCAAGTTAGTAGAGTTTGGGAATATCTGCAGAGGTCATTCTTGCCCGCATCTTTGCACACACTCATTTATTTTTCTTAGCCCCTGGCATCATCTGGAGTATAACTATCACACACAAAGACTGCATGGCACACAACTTCAAGCTCCTACTCCATGTTGGTCAATGAGGGAAGCTGTGTGGACACTGAGTCTGTTTGTGGAGTCAGCTCACTAAGCTCACTGATGGTAGTGGCAAGCAGAGAGTCCTGGGACACCACCGGGTCTTCCACTTTGCAGACTATGTCTGCAGAACTGTTCTCAGGCACAGTAGGCACACCACCTTGGACTGTGGCCAGGTTGTGAAAATGGCCATTTTCTGCAAAAGACAGCAATTTATCTGGAAGTTTGGGTGATGCATATTCTTCATCAGGCTGCTCCATCTTGTGTTCTTCATCATTCTTGGGTGAACCATCTACAATAACAAGGAAAGACTTCCATGGAGTATTCTTATCGTGTATCTACAAATCAAACACAAACAAAAGTCACTTCATGTGTCTGTACATTTCCCGACTTACAGATACATTGTTAACAAGTACATTTAAAAAAAGAAAAAAGAAATCAAGATTCTCTCCAACTTAAAATTAGTTTCCCCTGCAGTGAAAAATCTTCTAACTGCAAAACACCTGCTTATCACCAGTGTCACAGTTGGATATTTGCCATGAACTCTGTTCACTCTATACTCACTGCAGAGAACACCTGAGCTGTTGCGGCCTCTAACCCTTACTGGGAAGTGACATCAGGTATTTCTGGCTGTTCAGGGTTATGTATCTAAGGACCAGCAGTGTTTTATTCTCAAATAGGCCATTCCATCTCTTACTGTGGTGTGCCTCCGGAGAGTGGACTTGTCAGTAAATGTCCGTCCACATGCATTACACATGAATGGCTTCTCTCCAGTGTGGATACGATGGTGGCGCTGGAGGGCGTTGAGCTGGGTGAACTGCTTCCCGCACTGGTCACAACAATAGGGCCGCTCCCCTGAGGCAGGAAGAGAACAAACTATTGAGTGATCTCACCTTTTCACCTTCTGAAGTTAATTCTGAATACACTCCAGAAAAGTCTGTCTGCAGACCCCAGGAAAACCTCAACATTCCCACATACACAAAGCTAGTAATTCCGGGGCTAACCATGAGACATGCCAATTGACTATAATATCAAGTTTATGCCAACACCAAAAACAGACCAGAATTCATTCCTACAGCTATTATATCTTTAGAAATGACAATTATTTTCCACGGTAAAGAAATACAAAATTGCAAATCCCCTATTAACTGAATTTGTGTACATGTTTGTATATATACACTAATAGATCATTATCCTTATTTATACTAAAATATGAATATCCATATTGAAATATTCATTCATGGGTAAGGTGTCTGCCCTTTCCAGTAAAAACCACACAGCAAAGGAACTTGGTTGTCCCCTATTTGCCCATGTAAGTTCTTCTACTTTCCAGTTTCTCAGAACCAGAAATTAGGGGAAAAAAAATGTTTGGAAGGATACTGGGGATTGAACTCAGGGGTACCTAATCAACGAACCACATCCCCAGCCTGTTTTATTTTTTGAAACAAGGTCTTACTAAATTGGTGAGGCTAGCCTTAAACTTGTGATCCTCCTGCCTCAGCCTCCTGAGTCAATGAGATTACAGGCATGTGCCACCACACCCAGCTAAAAACTCAGTTTAAAAAAAAGAAAATGCTGTGACATAACAGTTTGGCCACTTTTCTCCTTAAGTTTTTCTAGTAAATCTAAAAAATTGCAGCGTTTTTCTTGCTGAACCAAACTCCCTTCCTTCCCTGGGACCCTGCAGCCATACCTGTATGGACTTTATTATGCTGATAAAGTGAATTCCGCTGGGCAAAAGTCCTGAAACATACTTCACATTTAAAGGGTTTGGATCCAGTATGGATTCTATTGTGGTGTTTTAAGTACTCCTTAGAAGCAAAACTCTTGCCACACGTTTCACACATAAAAGGCCTTTCACCTATATGAAAAGACAAAATACAATTATAAACAATACAGGCTTTCAAAATGCATGGGAATAGTAGGTCCACACTCAAAACCCTGGTGGGCAGCATGTTACACTTTCTAATTAAAACCATTATAAAACATTTATTCACATAAGATGCTTGCTACTTGCTGAAAGTCAGTATAAAATACCCTTGGAAATCCAAGAAACATTCCACTAGACTGGTTAAAGAGTTACCATTCAGCCAGCTCACATTTTAAAATGTCATTCTAAACAAGAAAATAATTTCACAACTTCTTTTTGGAGGACTTTTTGGATTGTTTTCAAAGAAACACTTTCTGTGGACTTTTATCAGAATAGGTCTGATAGAAAAGTTCCTCTCCTTTTAAGAAGGAATTTTTGTGTGATAAAAGGAGAAGTTTACATGGATTTATAAATGTAACTTCTAGAGTAACAAGTGCATGGGCTGGGGATGTGGCTCAAGCGGTAGCGCGCTCGCCTGGCATGCGGGCGGCCCGGGTTCGATCCTCAGCACCACATACAAAAACAAAAGATGTTGTGTCCGCCAAGAACTAAAAAATAAATATTAAAAATTCTCTCTGTCTCTCTCACCTCTCTCTTAAAAAAAAAAAATAGAGTAACAAGTGCAATTGACTGGACTGCAGGAAAATCTTCAATACCATCTCATTTTTTGTAGTTTAAATTCTTTATTCTTACAACTTGTATTCATCTGTAGGTATGCCCCTGATTTCACAAACATCCAAATAAAAATATTGGCTTTAATAAAAGCTTAATATGAATAGTTTCATCAAATGACCAATTCTAATTTATTCTTTGATGTGTCCTGACACTGTCCCCACCCAGCTTCCATTAGACACCAATTCTACTCATTCTACATCATGAAATACCTCATCTCTGTCTTGCGTGCATCTGAACTTGAGGCCTGTATGACAGTGCTTAGAAGTGAAACATGTAAGCCAAGAAGGAACTGGATTACTAGAGTAACTATGGTACACAATAGTTAGATTCTGTAAACATTTGTGTAGTTTACAAAATTCTGAACCTCATAGTCACTGTTGAACCAGAATAAAGCCAATTTGAACTTTTTCCTTCATATGATAAAATCATATCAAAAAGACTTTGGAAAATAGGAGATTATCCCACCGCCTAATTCACCAATTTATCATATTGTAATTTATTTTCTTCTTTTATATGCAGGTTTTCAATATAGTTGGGAGTAACTGAGTTTATTAACTGAGCATTTTGAAATTCAACAACCAAGTCCATAAGTTTTTTTTTTTTTTCATGCCATTCAGAGTCCTTATTCTGAATGGTCAAGTTATGAGCCAAGGAATGGATTCACCAGAATTTACTGAACCATTTCCTTACATTAATTTGGACAATCAGGTTGTTTCCAATTCTATGTTATTAAAAAATAGCAAGAGCAACCATAACAGCATATAGCTTTTTTCATATGTTAAGCAATTTCTTCATGCAGATTCTGGGAAATGGAATTTTAGACTATGCCACCAGTAAGAACTGTTTTATACCTCTCAACATCTAAGACCGATATGCCAGATCCTATTGCCTGGTGATATAGAGGCCATGGCCACAAGCACATGAGCACTGCAGACAACAGGTGCATTTTGATTCATTTTTTACAGAAAGATGGAAAAACTATAGTGTGGCTTTAACCTGGACTACTTTGGTAGATGCCAACTTCTAGTCAATTGCAGTTCCCTTCTACAGCTAGGAAAGACATTCAATCACAACAGCATGGGTATTTACCTGTGTGGCACCTTTTATGATAAATCAGCATGTGGTTCTGAGTGAATCTTGCACCACATTCATCACAGACAAAAGGTTTTTCCCCTGTATGAATTCTGAAAGTACAACATTCAGATGATAACTTAGGGTGTATTTCAAAGCTCACTTTGCAATACAATTTCCACTCTATCCTGCAAAAATCGTTTTCTCCAAGAGACCTGATAAGAATAACCTAAAGGAAAGGTCAAGAACCCATATCGCCATCCCAAAATAAACGCAGTTTCTGTGGAAGGCCAATAGATCAACACATAACCATTTGAGTTCACATCCCAATGTGGAATCACTGAATATCATCCACGTCATGCTATAATGCAAGAGCATAGGGAGCCCACACCTTGATGTATATTTTAGAACACTAAAGAGTGTCCTCTAATATTGGTAAAGCTTCCTCATTCAGAATCCACCACAAGCACCTTAGGAACTGTTGCTGACAAAATACCACATGACCAGAAATTTTACCATTATTTCCTAATATGACATGACCAGTCTCAAAAGGAGAGCTGTTCTCAAACTGCTTGAAGGAACCTATTTTCTGAGGAGCATACAAGAGCATTTTAATTTTACAACCAGCATGATGAAGCAATCAACCATACTTTACTGAGCACTTCTTAAACAATTATTTTAAACTTAAGAGTAAAAGATGACAAATGTCATGTCACCACCCCAGAGACTGGCCTAGGTTTGAAGTCAGACCTAGAACAGGTTAGAAAATTTAACTGCTTGCCTAGATTTTGAAAGTATACATTAACTATAAGGAAACTTATTTAAATACTGACCACCTCCCACCTAGAGTTCAAAAACAAACAGGAAACATGGTCTGCCCTGATGCTGGAGTTTAACCATAAAGCACATTTTCCAAGCCCAATGAACTTAATAAGACAAAGAAGAGTTCTGAAGAGATCATCTAACTGAGCTCTTTAATGGGATTGTGGGACCCAGCTGGTCATAGAACCCAGGTTTCAAATAAAGTGTCAGGGAAAGCCCATAAGGGTAATTAGCTCCAACTCTTCAAGTATGAAGGGGACTATAACCATCACAGGTAGGCAGCACATGCCAGGTGAGACTTCCAGGTGGGGGTTGTCAATGTCCCCTGCAGCAGTATGGTAGCTCTATTCTGTGTCCAGGATTCTGTGCCTGGACATGTCAAGGCTGACAGTGGAGGGTCTTCACTGGCTCAAGGGCCTTGTGAGTTGAGGAGCCATCTCTCTGAGCCTCTCTACCTCCAAAGAGAATTCTAAACTTTCTCACACCAGTCTCCCCATTCTTAGAGGAAACCAAATAAGAAATGAACAATCCAGACAGCCACACCACACTGGTCCAAATCCCAGAACCATCTCAGTTTCCCAACACTCATTTCAAGAATGGTTAAGTCCCTACAAACCAGCCAGTCCTGCCAAGGGTGCTGGCCCTGGGCGGCCAAGTGATCGGGTGCCACCTACCTCATGTGGGTCTTGAGCGCTGAAGGCTGCGAGAACTTGGCACCACACTCTGTGCAGCTATAGGGCCTGTCGCCCGTGTGTGTCCGCTCATGCAGCCTCAGCGCCGTCTTGGAGCTCAGGCCCTTGCCACACTGGACACAGCGGTGACGCTCACCACCACCCTCGTGCACCTGAACCACGTGCCGCTTTACATCCTTCTTGCGCTTGAACTTCTTCCCACATAGCTCACAGGGAAAGTGGCGCTCGCTGCTGTGCACATGGCGCTGATGGCTCTTCAGGTTGCAGCGGTTGGCAAAGGTTTGGCAGCAGGTGTCACAGCGGTACACCACCTCAGTGGCAACGCCATGGTGGTGCTTGATGTGCTTCAGGAAGCTCTTCTCGTACAGAAACGCCTTCTCACAGATAGAGCACTGAAAGTTGCTCTTCTTTTTCTTCTCTAACTCTTCTCCCTCTTCCTCCTCTTCCTCCTCCTCCCCAGCTGCTTTTGGCAGCACTTCCTCCAACTCCACACCAGTACTATCACCCTGGATTTTTGCAACCGGCTCCATCTCTGGTTCCACACTGTCTGGGCTTTGGTCCTGGGAAAAAGTATAATTCTCAGCTTCATCCTCAGCACTTTTTTGCTGCTCCCGGAGTCTTCTTGTGTACTTCTTTTTAGGGATTTCCACAAATACCTTTCTTCCAGCCAGCCTTCCACTAGCTCTTCTGATTTTAGGGTAAGGAGGCTTAGCTACATCTTTCTTTTTGTCTAGTTTCTCCTTGGACTTCCTCGGTGGCATATCAGGTGACATGCCATTGCTGATTCTCTCCACTGGGGAATCTGGAGAATCCACAAGGCCATTGGAGTGGGCACCATCAAGGCCTGTACTTGCCCTAGAGTCTGCAGCAACACCTACCTGGGAGCCATTGCTCACCTCAGCTTCCTGAGATTCAGAGAAATTCTGCAATTCCAAAAGGACTGACTCTAACATCTGTTTCTTTAACTGGAAACAAGTTTCTGAAAGGTCCAAACATTTTAGCTTTTCAGCCATTTCCAGCATCCGCTGTACCCGATCTTCTTCCACCTGCACCTTGGCAGTGTAGACAAACTCCAGAAATGAAGCAAAGTCAACAACCTGTACTTCATTTAAGTAGACATTAGTTCTGGTACCATCCTCACTCTTCTCATTAAGGAACATTTCCTTAAAAAACTTGCTGGTGGCTGCCAGCACTGCTTTATGGGCCACAAAGTCTTCCCGGACACCTTGATACTCCACACTGACTGTGACGTCACACAGGTGACCCAGAAGGCGGAGCTCATGCATTTCATGAAGAAGGTTAAACGGTGAGGATTTGGATTCCAGCAGAACTGCACCACTTTCCATCTTTCCAAAAACAGCTTTGAAAACAAAAGCAAGAATTATTTTATGCATGAGCAACCACTGAGGTAAAAGGACTAGAGATTATGAGGATTATTTCAGTTCTTTAGAGGATATACACTGATTAACATCATAGCTTCTCGTTTTTTGAAGTGAACTTCCTGATGCACTTTTGTAAGATAACATTTGCATGAAAAGCAAACTGCCAAGGGCTGGGGTTGTGGCTCAACATGTGAGGCACTGGGTTTGATCCTTAGCACCACATAAAAATAAATAAATAAAATAAATGTACTGTGTCCAACCACAACTTAAATAAATAAATAAATAGATAGATACATAGATAGATAAATAAATAAAAGAAAAATTGCCAAGATTTTCCCCAGTGATTGAAGTCATAACTAGTGGAATGCACTAAAGCAGTAATTTGCTTATCAAGATCAATGAAACACATGGCTGCCACTGTCTTAAAAGCAAACCTTACAGAAACACTGCCACTGGAAACAATCAACTAAATAAAGCACTACTTTCCAGGAGGAAAACTTCCTGGAAAAGTAGTTTACAATTTCATCCCCACTTCCAACACCCCTAAACACCTGTTAATTTGCATTACCATTACTCTGCTAAAATAATGCAAGTTCCATAGCTTTTACTGTAAGTAACTTAACCTCTGTAGCTTAATCTCCTCCTCTGTAGAAGGCTCACAGGTTACTGTAAATCTTCAATGAATGCAGTATGTTAAGTCATTACAGCTGTGCCTGGAATTTGCTGGCTAGTTATTGCTGGCTTCCTATGTGCAGACAAAGGTAACACTATGATCCCCATTTCACAGATGAGTAACTGACTAGTTGGTCTGGACTTGAACCTGGGCCCAGTGGGACTCTGGACCCAAATACAACTGCTCAAAACACACTTCACCTCAGTCTCACCAAATAAAATTAAAAAAAAAAAAAAAATCTACTTTTACCCTCTTTCCACCATAGCAACATGCAGTCCCAAGCCTCCATGAGACCCCACCCTGTCTTCATTTCTTCTGCTACCAGCTCTAACTCTTTCCACAGACTCCTTAAATATGTGCTTTCTCCTCAAGGTTCAGCCCAATCTTCTGCTCTTAAATCTACTTCTTCCTCCAAGTTCACTTTGGTCCCTAGGTCTCCATCATCCAAGGACTCCCCACCTTCCTTCTAACCTTTCACTTAGATGTCATCTCAGATTCAAAATGTTTAAAGCAGGACTTGTCACTGTCTCTGAAAAACCAGTCCCACCCTTCTCCTGTCCCATCAGTGATACTGCTACCCACAGCCACCAGCCCCCAAAACATGGAAAAGACCACCCTCTAAGCATGCGAATGTAAAAACCAGCACCTAGGAGGCTTGTGCAATGTCACCTGAAGGAGACTCTATAGTAAACTGAGCATATATAGGAAGCCTAAGGAAAGGTCATGCTGGGAGTGGGAACCCAGTATGTCAAAGGGTCTGGCAGTGACCCCAACACGAGCCTGAGGAGAAAAGGCTACAGATGGCTCTATTAGCCTATGCCCATGTCACCAGACCTGACTTCCCCAAAACTCTTGTCAAAAGGTCCACAAAGAAACCTGAGTCCTTACAGGCAGCCTGGCAGCAACTTCTCGATTAACAAGGTGTTTTGAGCCCTATTTCCTAATTTACTTGCGTAATAAAGAGTAGGTACTGGCCATGCATGGCCAGAGACTATCTGCGGCCTAGTGACAGCTGAGTGTCCCACTGCAATTCATTGGTATTCTGGCCACTTCCCAGTGCAGGAGCATATGACTCAACGCGGGTAAGCAGACCCCCGAGTCCACAGGGAACGGCCCAGCCCCGGGAGACCCAGCTCTCCGCAGCTGGTCCACAGAATACTGGTTCTCCAGCTAGACACAAAGTCAGGAGACAAGAAGCAGGGGTCGCCCTCTACGCTCTGACCGCATCCACCCCCACGCTGCCGGAGCAACCACCACAGCCACCTCGCTGCCCTAGGCGCCCCGAACTCCCCGGGCCACACGGAGAATAAACCACTGCAACCAGGGTCGAGCCCCTCCCCCGACAGACGTGCGCCTTCCAACGCACGCATCTGGGGCCGCGTGGATCCGGCCTGTCCCTCAGCCCCAGGCCGCCCCTACCCCGCTCCGGCATCCCCGAGGCCTGCTGCTTCTCCGGACTGCAGAGGCGAGGACAGGCGAGAGTCGGTGGCAGACGGAGAGGGTCCGGCCCGGACCCCGCAGACTATACACTCACCTGCCTACCGGCGCCCGCAACGCGGCCACTGTTGGCTGGAACAGGCCCGTAGGAACAGCCTGCCCGGCTGGGCGGGGCGCACCCCCCCCGCCCCCGACACTGGCGCGGGAGCCGCTGATTGGCTGTGGTGGGGGCTCTTCCCCGCCCCTAACAGACCTCACCTCCTAGCAGGAGGGGGAAAAGCAGTGCGCACGCACGTCTGGCTGCGGTGCCCGTTCGGATCTAGCTACGTGATCCGACGTACGCTGGGGCGGAGCGACTGACTGGCCGCACTGGATGACGTCACCTGCGGCGAGCCAAAACCTGCGCCTTCGCTGTGGGCACCGTAGGTGCTCTGGGCCCCAGAGCCGAGGCAAACGCGGAAGGTCAGAATGACGTCTCCAGTGCGTTATCACTTACCTGTTGATTCCCAGGTGCTGTATCCGCTGCACCTGCAGCTTCCGGGTCCCACAGCCTAGGTACTGCTTGTGGCCCGTGGCTGGTTTCCTACTAAGAAGCGCTCAGGATTACGATGCGAGGCGGCGTTCTTGGGTCGCGGTAGTGGACAGGCCAGCACTGCGCCAGTAGACACGGGGCAAGACACAAACGCACTTAGGTGGTGAGGGGCTCTGCCGGGCGCAGAGTCCTGGACGGGTACCGCGGGAGCTGCGACCAGGCAGTGCTCAAGGCGCACTCCTGACGAGCAAACATCTCTGCTTTGTAGTGTTCGCGCGTCTGCTGACGACCATTGGCGCCTGGGAACCGGGAACCACACCTTAGCATCGGCACTGCTTCGTTTGTTTTTCCAGGAAACTGCAGCCAGGCGAACTGTTTAATTGTTCAGTAACGAAATTTCCCTGAGGACCCATCCATTCTTCAATGGAAAACACAAATTATGCCCTAAGATTCTTTGAGTCCTTTAGCTCAAAATCTTGCTGTTTGCACCAGTCCTGAAAACGCTGTTATGGAAGAATCACCTTAAATCAAACTTGCACTTCTCCATAAATTCTGAAATTTATAAAATTGCCTTCCTGTTTTCAGCCACCGTGAAAGCTTTGCGAGGTTGCAATTTCCCTTACTGCTGCCAGTAGTAAACTCAGTCTTGTCTTACCAATAAGTTGTGAAAGGACAAATACAAACTTAAAATATGAGACAATTTTTCCTATTGAAAATTAATTTCTACCCCCTCAACCTTTGAGCATTTAAACTTTATTAAAATTGATAATTAAGTACTTTTCTCTCTTTGAAATGTGTATAAATCCTTTTGAAGACTAACTAGGCCTTTTGTAGGCTTTATGACTAGAACTACCTTCAACAACATACTATATTCCTCAGCTATGTTTTCTGCAGGAGAAATGCAATCCCAAAGGTTTCTCCCGGCAAATAAGAACACAAGTAGGGGGCTGGGGATGTGGCTCAAGCGGTAGCGCGCTCGTCTGGCAAGTGTGCGGCCGGGGTTCGATCCTCAGCACCACATACAAAGATGTTGTGTCCACCGAGAACTAAAAAATTCTCTCTCTCTCTCTCTCTCAAAAAAAAAAAAAAAAAAAAAAAAAAAACCTCTAGTTTCCTACAATGTTAAAAAAAAACCACAATAAAATAAAATGATAGTATGCTTTGGAAAAAAAAAAAAAACACAAGTAGGGCTGGAGTTGTGGCTCAGTGGCAGAGCGCTTGCCTTGCACGTGTGAGATAATGGGTTCGATCCTTAGCACCACATAAAAATAAGTAAACAAAGATATTTTTATTTAAACAAAATAAAGATATCCATGTGTAACTAAAATAATATTTTTTAAAAAGAAAAGGAAGAAGAACACAAGTTATCTGAACAGGGAACTTTTGTGACACTTATCCAGGCTAGATTCCAGGACTCAGGGAGATAGGGTAATTCAAAGCAAACCCTCCTTCTAAGAACTGCTTCCAATTAGAGATGTCAGTGGCCCGGATGGGGGTGGGGGGAATGAGGCAGGAGGGGTGACCCAGAGTTGCCTTGAGTCTTTACCATGGGGTAAAACAATGGGCAGTCCAGACTTGAAAGTCATGCAGTACTATTAGTCAAAACTCAAAGAGGTATAACTGGGAAGTAAGTACTCTCCGGAAACTTCCCTGGAAACCCCTAATAAAACAGGAGAGCAGGAGGAGTTTGCTGTCTCTCCTCTCTAAGATGACCCACTCTCTCGCTTTCTCCTTTGAGAGTATTTCCTTTTTTCCTGATCCTTTTCTGTATAACAGACTCATGCCTACTACTATGTACAAATTGCTTAAAATTCTGCAAGCTAGATCCCAAGAACCAGTGGTTGCAGATCTTCATGGTCACTTCAGTCTGTGGGCAAATTCCCCTCTGTAACATTGATTTGCTGCTCAGGCTGAGAAGCATTAATCCTGTCTCAGTCTCCTGGGACTACAGGTACACACCACCATACCTGGCTTCTAGATTAATGTTTATTCAAAAAATTTAAAAGTATTTTCTTGTGTAGCTCAGGAATAGAGCACTTGCTAGCATGAACAGCACCCTGGGTTCAAACCTTAGTACTGCAAAAATAAATAAATATTTTCTTTCTCTACTACCTGTGTGGAGAGGATTTCTGGGTTGGGAAAGTATGATTTTAACTATATTTCCCCATTAGGAATTAGGAGTCCGCTTCAATAAATATTTGAAGGAAAAATAAGTGACAGGAGGCATCTTTGCTTAGGCAGATTCTCTTTATAGTATTCTCCATGATTCCAGGAAATTGGAATAAATACACTTGTCTGTCACTGTGGCTCGAGCAGGCCTGGCCCAGAATTATTTTTTTTTTAATTTTGAGACTTTGGTCTTATAAAAAAGCAATCTCTACTAAGGCATACTGTGTTGCAGAATGCTCACCTTGTCTTGTATGTATTCAGTGCTCAGCGCTACAAATAAAAACAAATAAACCAAAAACTGACCTGCTTCCTTGCTTACTTCAGTGCTTTTTGGCCACTTATATATCCCCTTCGGAGAAATTACTATTCAAATCATTTGCCCATTGGGTTGTCTTTTATTACTGAGTTGTGCAACTTTTTAATTTTTAAATTAAAAGTCCCTTTTAGGTGCTTGATTGATAAGTACAGTCATCCCTCAATCATTCTGGGGGAAATTGGTTCCAGAGACCCTCATGGATAACAAAATCTGTGAATACCTCAGATAAGCTCCCTCATTTCGTACCCACACCTTTCTCCCTCTCCTGCCCTGACTTCCCCATGAAATCTTTCTTGTTGCAGTCGTTCCCTGCTCTCAGGAGGATGTTTTGATACCATCTATCTCTGTTTGTCTCTAAGTATCAACTCTTTCTGGAATTTAGGACTGCAGCTATGCATCTCCCTACTCAAGTCTACCACCTGCAAACACATCTCCTCCCTGCAACTGTCCCCAAACTAGTTCCCATTCTTAGGTTGACTATAATGAAAACAAAAACAAACAAAAAAAAATTCATGCTTACAGTGGATAAGACATCATGCTACAGCGTGTCAGTTCTCACAAAACGCTAGGAGGAAGAGGAGACATATCTGGATTTTACATATGAGAAAGCAGAAGGCACAAAGAGATAAACAAACTCAGACAAAATCACACAAAGAGCCAGTACAAAGCCAGGATTTAAAACTGCAGAGTGCCAGCTCTGCCCAGATCAGATCAGTTTAGAGCCCAGGAAAAAAAAAAAAATCTCTTGTCAGATAGGTTAGAAAATTAATTAGGAACTAAAATGAAGCTCTGATCAAGTAACATAAATGTTCCATGTCTTCAGTTTGCATTAATTCTAAAAGTGATTTGGAAGACAGCTTGGTGCACAAATGTGGCCCCTTGCCTTTGCCTACCTACTTTGGTTCTTACTGGCTTGATTATGCCATGGTTGTCTTTTACCTCTACACTCCCCTGGCCACTAGGCCACTAGGGTCTGGAAGTGGCTATGTGCCCCTGGGCTCAGGCCATTTGCACATCCCATTTGAATGGCTCCTCTTCCATTCTGATCTTTCCTCTTCCCCAGATAATTCCTAAGTATGAGTTTGGTCTCCATCCAATTGTCTCCTCCTCAGGAAAGCTGACTCTAGCTCCCTTACTAGGATGGAAGCCATATAGAAACTTCTTAAATGAATGAATGAATAAATCAAAGAATGGTCACTCATCTGTCTTCTGCACAGGTCCCCAGGCTGCTGGGCTTCTAACTGCCATCAGGGTAAACAGTTTCCTGGGAACTTCACAAATGTTGCCATGCTAGTCTCAGTCTTTTCCATCTTCTGAAACCTCTTCATTCCTTTGCCTGAATGCTGATTGATAACCTTGCCTCAGTGATCTCCTGTGTTTTCAGATGGAAATTATTATTTGTACTGGGGATTGCACCCTGGGGTGCTTTAATACTTAACTACATACACAGTCCTTTTTATTTTAGTTTTTAAATTTTCAGACAGGGTCTCACTAAGTTGCTGAGGGTCTTCCTTAGTTGCTAAGGCTGTCCTCAAACTTTGAGTTCTGGTAACTCAGCCTCCCAGGTGGCAGGGATTATAGGCCTGTGTCACCAAGAGAATTTAGACTATTCACATAAAAGTCTGAATGAGGGGTGGGGACACAGTTCAATGGTAAAGCATGTGCTTAGCCGGCCTGATATCCTGGATTCAATCCCCAGCACCCCCCTCTCCCAAAGTATGAAAGAGTTCACTGATGATGGACTCCTATAAAAACAATGATAAACCAGTATCTACATCAAGCAAAAAAAGAGAGAGTTAAACAAATGTTTGATATTGAAGAACTAACACAAACAATGAAATTTCAGGGGCAGTTAGAAAAAACTTAAATACATAAGTGGGTATGTGTGTCCCTGTAACTGTCCCTACCCTTTTGCCATTCTGAAGAAGTAAATGGGAAGGGACAATTACATAGAGTCGTTCACTGCAGTGTGCTTTTTTTAGTGGAAACAGCTGAATAATTTATAATACTTCTATGCACTGGAAAATTATGTGACCTTAAAATAACGTTTTAAAAAATGTTTAGTAGCTTGCAGAAATGCTCACCCTTTTGCGAGTAAAGGCAGATACACTATATTACAAAGTTCTGATCTGATTTTTTTAAAGGACTATACAAAGAGACTGGAAAGAAAACGTGTAACATATTCTTTACTACATCAATGACAAATGCAGAAATATGCCAACCCCAATGTCCCTCCCACCAACGCCTGCACCTCCCACCGTTGTCCTGCGGGATCTGTCCCCCAAATGGGCTGCGCCGTTAGTCAAGCGACCAAGAACGTGCTCACCACTGGTGCTCAGGCGCGGTTTAGGTTCCTCAGCTGGCGCTACCTATTAGCTATTGCAGACCCGAGTCCCGCCCCTCCGGGTCTGGGATTGCTCCAGCCTGGGGTCCTTGGAGACAGAGGGCGGAGCTAGGGCATAGGGGTCACGTGGCACGCGCCGCGGGATCTCCCAACAGACAAGATTCTTGTAATTGGCACTGGGAGGTGGCGGGGTAATGGTTTGGACATCCTCAAGGGAATTGAGGAGTTGGATCTACATACTGAACTTAGCGTCCTGGCCTTTGGCTGATGGTCGGCAGGATCTGGGGTTGAGGATTCACCGCGTCCCTCTGTGGAGCTGGGGGTGGTCTCCCGAGGTTAGCTTGACTGGGGCTGCCCTTCCACTGGCCAATCAGCCTGCACCGGAGCGTCCTGTGGGGCTATCCGGTCTCCTAGAGCTGCTTCAGGCTTGGCATGGGGTCCCAGGCTGCAACAGAGCACGAGGAAGCAGGAGCAGCTCCGCAGGGGTGGAGGTGGCTCTCGCCCAGAGCACAGGTGGGGAAGAGGGTGCCTGGGATCGGTTGTGGGCTCTGATAGTGGATCCATACCGCTGCCGCCTACCCTTTGGATAATTGTCCTTAATGTGTGGTCTAAAATGCTGCAGGTTGTATGATTACAGTGGATCAAATGAAATATATTTTTAGATCCGACTAAAGGTCAATTTTAAGTGTTCGAATTTTAACGTCATACTTCATTATCTGCCTTATATTTGAGCAGATTATCACAACTTTTAAGATACACCATTTCTACAAGCTTGGTTGGAGATTTTTAAATTTTAAAATAAATATTTTTTTTGTGAAATCCCTACATGTTTCAATGAAATATCTACCTGGAAGCGTCTGAATTGCTGTGATTGTGCTGATTCTTGCAATCCCCTCAACCTGAATGCCCTTCATTTCTTATCTTAAAACATTCCTACCCAAATCTCC